GGGGGGGGGGGGCGGGGGGGCTCTAATTGTTTTGTTGCGTAAGCTGCACCGTGGGTAGAAAACCCTCTGCGGCATGGGGGCAATGACATATATTTGTGAACGAAGACCCCATACTAATTCCCACATGAACCTAAATCGAAGTTGCCCTCCCGGGGCTGGGGGGGGGTTATGTGTCCGGAGTTTTTTTCCCGTCGACCCTTGAGCCAGCGTATGGTTTGTTTCCTTCAATCTGCGTTCATGTTTCTCGATATCATCTTATTCTAGAACCCGCCTTGCTCAGAACGGGGGGCAGCAAGGAGAAACCCCTCAAAACGTTGACTGTTGCCCACCCTGCCAACAACATATTGTCGGGACGGCGCTGATCCGCGTAAACCCATCCGACGGCCAAGGGGGACACCTACGTCTATAATGTGGAAGGGGTTTTGCAGAGTTTCGAAAAGAAGTTCGTCTTGCAACGCTCGCCCCGTTCTCTTGCGTGCCGGACATGAAACTGTCCATGTAAGGGTTGCAATAATCCTTTTCGAGCTCTCACCACAGGTCCTCTTGTCCTCAAGAGAGTCGTGCGTGAGTTGTTGTCTTTCACATCTTCGCGATCTACGCGTCTGTTGTGGTAATTGTGGCAGGAGTGAAGCCCCCCCTGGGAGGGGGGAGGCGGGCCTCACAGTCCCGTTAGCGATGTGTACCCTCATTGGCATCGCAGCAGTTCGAATCTGCCTCACCTGCGTCGTAAGCGGAAACCGAAGTATAGCCTGCCTGGGTTATGCCATGAAGCTATTCAAGAGGCTTCCACAGTTAGGCTCTCGCGTGACCCTCCAAAAACCGTGTATGTGCGGGTGGTCTGTTGGTTGAATGTGCGAGTGATTCTTGCAAAAAAAAGTTGAACCGACAAACCTGCTGACGCCGCCAAATCACAATTTGACTTGATATTAAAGGACAAACTTGCAATACGTGTTACTCGCACCCACATACGAATTGGCTCTTGCTACTCGAAGAAGACCTGCTGCCAGGTCATATGCAGGGTTTTATCTGTCAGTTTTGCGAACTGACATCAAAAAGGCGCCAAAGACCCTAAAAACATGTGATTTTCGGTGCTTTCCACCGGCTCCCACGTACGTGCGTGGAGATTGCGGAAACCCCAACAGGCAAAACCACAGCTCCTGTTTCTGCGAAGGTCGCACAACAAACCGCACCACAATCCACCACTCCTACGCCACACAGCCCGTCTTGCAAGATCGAGTACTGATAGGTAACCAACGGACCAAAAACAAAGGGCCTTCACAGCGGAGAAAAAAAAAATATATATCGCTCGCAGCAGGCGACTTTGGTAGCTGAAAATAAGAAGGACTTGATACAGAGGGCGTCTCAGCAGCGGTACGACAGCGTCGTTCAACGCGGGGACGTTGCCGCGCTGAGCCGCAGCCGCGACGTCGCGCACGCAGCCGCGGCCAAATCGCGTGAAAGTAAAAACAAGGCGATGGCAGCCAAAAGTAGTGCGGAAAAAGCAGCGGAGGAGGCGAAAAATGTTGCGGAGGAGCAGCAGCGGCTGGGAGACTTGGCAACCGCTGCGGCGGAAGCCGAACGCGCGAGCAGGGTGAGGGCGGTGGAGGAGAAGCGTGCGGCGGCGGAGAAGCTGGAGGAGGAGCGCCGGCGGGTCCAGCTCTTGACGGAGCAGATCGCTCGTCTGGCACCACACACACACTTTTATGGCGACTCTGCTGCTGTTGTGCATCCCAAAACCTCACGCAAATACTTTCAAAAAAAATCACGCTCCGACACAGGTGTTGGCGGTCTGTTGCTCTGAAAGTTTTCAAATAGATGAGATTTCATTGGTCTGTGAGTTTTTTTTTTTATCTGTTCAAAAGTAGCTCCGTCAGGACACGAAAAACGCGCATACAGAGGGTCACGCGAGAGCCTAACAGTCTGACTACATCGCAGCGGTTCGAGTCTGCCTCACCTTCATCTTAAGCGGCAGCGAAATATGGTTTGGGATGTTCCATGAAGCTGAAGGCTTACCCAGTCGGATGACATCGCTGCAGTTCATGATTGTGGCTTCGATGGAGGGCCACTGCTACACTGCTACACAACGGGAGGCAACATTTCCTTCTCTGTGGTGTAAGCGGGAAACCGGTATTTGGTCTGAGATATTTCATGAAGCGGAAGGCTTTCTTACCCACTCCAATGGCATCGCAACAATTCGAACCTGCCTCTTGCTGAAGTCGTGGACGGGTTGCTTCCCCAGCTCCGTTGTGGACACGGTGTAGGTATGAGCGTGGTACCGCCAGGATGAGGGAGAAAGAAACGCTGTGTCTCTACGTTAGGTACACACGTAGGAAACATGTTTTTTCGACGCTCTGGTGTGTATTGCGGGAAAATAAACTGCAAATGGTGCTTCCCGCCATCGCTCGGCCGGTTCCTCTTCCGTTAATTCGCGGACTCCGGCGGAATGGCCAACCTAGTGGAAGCGAGATGATGTTACCGATCCAGTTCTGCCCCTAGCTGTAGGCGGAACGATAACTGCGACAAGGCGTTATCGGACCAGGGTCATGGACGAGCGGTTTGTTTCGTCGTTTCATTGCTGGCCACCGACCCCACAAGTTTAGGCCGTTGCATCAGCTGCATGGGACTACACCTCCCCCGGCGTTCGTCCCCATCGCATGCGACGCCCTACGTTTGCCAAACTGTCACGTCAGGGGATCAGATGTGAAGCCATACAAAACGTAAACCCGACGCCAGGTTGAGTAGCCCTCTGTAAGCGCTCGAGCTTCGCCACTGACCGGAAATGGCTTACTAAACGGTTCGTGCGGATGTAGTAGGCAGGTCGACGCGCACCATGCCAGACATTAACGCCACGCTGTCTACGCGCGCGGTTGACACGACACTGGAACAAGCGTGATTCGTGTTGCTTTGGCTTGGCAATCCACCGCTCCCCCCGGAGGGTCACACCGACTGTTTCGAAACTCCCCCGTGACGTTTTCCACTACCCATGTCAAGCCTACAAGGGCATCTAGTCGTGGCCGTGGGGCGGAGCACCAACGGCGTACCAAGCGGTGGTCTGCGAACACACCACCTGACGTCATGTTACGCGGAGGGGGGGTGGAGGTGCACAGCATTGCATAGACAAATTCTGCAGCAGGCATGATATTTCTTCTCTCTGCATCCTGTCGCAAATTGACGCCCCACACCAAAGATCGCCCCGGTGTGACAGTTTTGACTCCACAACGTGGAACGCTGCCGCGCCACATGAACCGGTGTGGCTCGCGCTGTCACACCCAGGCGTTGACTCACCGAGTTAGTTGAGAAACGGCCTCTAAACAAGAAATGCTTCACGAAACATCACTAGCTGGACGA